ATATATATTCATATACTTATGTATGAATATATATATATATATTCATATATATATACGGATTTAAATATACACGATAATGATAATGATAATGATGATAATATATGTATTTTTTTCGATCGAAGCAACCAAAACCACCTTGATTTGCAAGTACATCAGCACAGTTTTCACGAATATACGTCAGCGAGACGGGGCAACAGAGCCGCATAAGGCAGAGGAACCAGCTGCAGCCGAGAGACCGTAAAGATGCCATGTCTCGCTAGTCGATTATTCAAATGTTCGTAACTATACATACAAATACGTTGTAATGAAACAAATTAAGTTGATAGGTGAATATTCTGTTGAAATTTATGTTGAATATACTGTTGAAATTGTGAACGAAGAGAGTAAATGTTAGTACGAAGAAACGATAAAATCATGATTGGTAACAGTTCGTGGAGTCGCTGCAATGATACGATTAAAGTTCTTTGTAATGCGTGATGAAATTTGGAAGCCTAAAATCCTTTAAGTAATTATATCTTAATAAAGCCTTGTGAGCATTCTACTAATCGTTTACTTATACAAAATGAACTGGAAATGATACAGAAGCAAGAAATGTCCATCGGAATGTGCGAATAAGACGTTTCGAATCCTCCGCACGACACTAAGTTCGAATTCTTAGTGGGATTCTTTATTTAATGCTTTCTACTCTCTCTAAATATTGAAAGCAAAAACTGGCTCTTTTTTTAATTATTTGTCTCTTCAATTTCTGTATATCCTATGATGCAAAAGTTGCCTCGGATTTTTTATTTATCCACTTTTTTTAAATACCCGGAAAAAATGAAAGTGGAAAAGATTTACTGGATGGAGAAATAAAGCTGATTTCCTTAATAAATAAATAAACAAATAAAGCTGATTACCTTCCTCCCTCAAATCCCTTGCTCATTGTTGTCGTGGGGGAAGGAGTTAGGGGGGAGGGGGGGGGCTTAGGAAACGGGGACAGGCACAAGGTAGGGGACCGCCTCTTGGCTTGGACCCCGAACCCTCGCCTAAACTAATTTTTTTTTTTTTTTTTTTTTTTTTTTTTTTTTTTTTTTTTTTTTTTTTTTTTTTTTTTTTTTTTTTTTTTTTTTTTTTTTTTTTTTTTTTTTTTTTTTTTTTTTTTTTTTTTTTTTTTTTTTTTTTTTTTTTTTTTTTTTTTTTTTTTTTTTTTTTTTTTTTTTTTTTTTTTTTTTTTTTTTTTTTTTTTTTTTTTTTTTTTTTTTTTTTTTTTTTTTTTTTTTTTTTTTTTTTTTTTTTTTTTTTTTTTTTTTTTTTTTTTTTTTTTTTTTTTTTTTTTTTTTTTTTTTTTTTTTTTTTTTTTTTTTTTTTTTTTTTTTTTTTTTTTTTTTTTTTTTTTTTTTTTTTTTTTTTTTTTTTTTTTTTTTTTTTTTTTTTTTTTTTTTTTTTTTTTTTTTTTTTTTTTTTTTTTTTTTTTTTTTTTTTTTTTTTTTTTTTTTTTTTTTTTTTTTTTTTTTTTTTTTTTTTTTTTTTTTTTTTTTTTTTTTTTTTTTTTTTTTTTTTTTTTTTTTTTTTTTTTTTTTTTTTTTTTTTTTTTTTTTTTTTTTTTTTTTTTTTTTTTTTTTTTTTTTTTTTTTTTTTTTTTTTTTTTTTTTTTTTTTTTTTTTTTTTTTTTTTTTTTTTTTTTTTTTTTTTTTTTTTTTTTTTTTTTTTTTTTTTTTTTTTTTTTTTTTTTTTTTTTTTTTTTTTTTTTTTTTTTTTTTTTTTTTTTTTTTTTTTTTTTTTTTTTTTTTTTTTTTTTTTTTTTTTTTTTTTTTTTTTTTTTTTTTTTTTTTTTTTTTTTTTTTTTTTTTTTTTTTTTTTTTTTTTTTTTTTTTTTTTTTTTTTTTTTTTTTTTTTTTTTTTTTTTTTTTTTTTTTTTTTTTTTTTTTTTTTTTTTTTTTTTTTTTTTTTTTTTTTTTTTTTTTTTTTTTTTTTTTTTTTTTTTTTTTTTTTTTTTTTTTTTTTTTTTTTTTTTTTTTTTTTTTTTTTTTTTTTTTTTTTTTTTTTTTTTTTTTTTTTTTTTTTTTTTTTTTTTTTTTTTTTTTTTTTTTTTTTTTTTTTTTTTTTTTTTTTTTTTTTTTTTTTTTTTTTTTTTTTTTTTTTTTTTTTTTTTTTTTTTTTTTTTTTTTTTTTTTTTTTTTTTTGTGTCAGTACAAACTAAATGCAATCGTGTTTTGCAGTGAACAGTCCATACATTTGATTTTAACCATTTTGGGAATCCACAAACATCACCTTATGAATCAAAAAAAAAAACGAAAAAGAAATTCCTTACTTGTGTGTTCCGCCCCTAAACGTATTTTGAAAACGCTGTTAAATGACCTTAGATGTTGACGCGGCAGAAAAAAATCAATGAATAAGTAAATGGTTTCCAGCGCCGACCCGAGGATACGGGTAACTAGTTTGCACCTGAGCAGTTACTGATAAATGTTTAATATATACACGCATATTGAATATATACAGCTATATATTCAATATGTGTGTGGGGGGAGGGGGTGAATATATAAATATGTGTGTGTGTGTGTGTGTGTGTGTGTGTGTGTGTGTGTGTGTGTGTGTGCGCGTGTGTGTGTGTGTGTGTGTGTGTGTGTGTGTGTGTGTGTGTGTGTGTGTGTGTGGAGAGAGAGGGTGATATATGTGTGTGTATGTGCAAATGTATATGTATGTATATATATACATATATATGCATGTATGTATATGTAGGTATGTATGCACACACATCTGTGTATATATAAATGTTTGAATATGCACATATATACATATCATAACAGACTGGGGTTAATACCGAAAGAAGTATCTGTACCGTGTTAGATAAAAAATAAAATAAAATAAAATAAATAAAAACGAGTAGGTTGTCCGCTCCGACACGCCCGAACCTGTTTCAGTGAACTTCTACACCTAAGGTCTTTTTTGTAGTTTTTTCCGAAGCTCCGAACAACTTTGATACTTTGGGCGAATAGTGGTGTTGAATAAAGAATATACGTTGCAGAGTAATCAGTTACTTTTTCCTTTTATTTGAAGCTTTCGCAATGTTTTGCTTATAATCCGTTTCACAGCTGCATACTAAGTTCTTCAGTGGTTTTCTCTTGACTCTTGTACGTGGAATTAAGGGGAAAAAATAACCTCTTTTAATTTTTTTTTATGTCAGTACAAACTTAAATGCAATCGTGTTTTGCAGTGAACATGATCCATCACCAAGCAATTTACAAGTTTACCTTAATTCACAAGGTTTATTTTTTGGCGCGGGTAAGACTTCTTTGAGACTGCACCCTTATAGACATTAGAAGACTGCCTAGAATTAGAACGTACGCTATTAAACTACTAACCAGCGTATTTATTTGATACCTGAAAATTAAATATTAACCATTTCCGACTTGACAAATGAAGATTTTTTGTATTTTTATATTGTTTTTTTTTATTGTTATTCCATTATCGTTATCATGAATGACGTTATTGTTATTACTATTATCAGCATTATTGTTATCATTGTTATCATTATTATTATTACTATTATTATTATTACTATTATTATTATTACTATTATTATTATTACTATTATTATTATTACTATTATTATTATTACTATTATTATTATTACTATTATTATTATTACTATTATTATTATTACTATTATTATTATTACTATTATTATTATTACTATTATTATTATTACTATTATTATTATTACTATTATTATTATTACTATTATTATTATTACTATTATTATTATTACTATTATTATTATTACTATTATTATTATCATTAGTAGTATTGTTGTTGTTATTATTATTATCATTAGTAGTATTGTTGTTGTTATTATTATTATCATTAGTAGTATTGTTGTTGTTATTATTATTATCATTAGTAGTATTGTTGTTGTTATTAGTTTTATAGTTGTTTTTGGTGTTATTGTTGTTTTTATTGTTATTCCATTATCGTTATCATGAATGACGTTATTGTTATTACTATTATCAGCATTATTGTTATCATTGTTATCATTATTATTATTATTATTATTATTATTATTATTATTATTATTATTATTGTTGCTGTTATCATTAGTACTATTACTATTATCATTGTTGTTATTATTGTTGTTGTTATTATTATTATCATTAGTAGTATTGTTGTTGTTATTAGTTTTATAGTTATTTTTGGTGTTATTGTTGTTTTTATTGTTATTCCATTATCGTTATCATGAATGACGTTATTGTTATTACTATTATCAGCATTATTGTTATCATTGTTATCATTATTATTATCATCGTTATTGTTATTATTATTATCATAATTATTATTACTATTATTATGATTATGATGATCATATGTTATAATGCTGTTGTTGCTATTTTTAAATGTACTATTATTATTATTACTATTATTATTATCATAATTATCATTATTATGACTTTTTTATCATATGATTTTTTTTCTTTACTCTCATGTAATACCATAATTGTTACCTGTCCTTATAGTCATTTTGTTACAACCACGATTGTCAAAATGAATTAAAAGAAAATAATTAACTCATCGTCATTATTACCTGAAGGGTCTCTCCGAACTTTTCGCGACCACGTCCAAAATATTCTGTTTTCATAGATATGTTTTCCACAATCAGATACGTCTGGCAGCGCGGTTCCCTGGAATGGCGGATGTATTTAAAAGTTTGAATAAACAGTTAAAATAAAATAACAAAGGGCATCAATAGATTATGATAATTATCATTATCATAATGATTCACTATCATTGTTAATATTATCCTCAATATCATTATTATGATTCTATTATAAATGTAACCCAATAGGGAAGAAGATAAAATTAGCAAAAAAGAGTATTGTACAAGAATGATAAGTGATAAGATAAATGCAGTGATGATGATACTAACAATAAAAATAAATAGACTATTGATAACGATCCAAATATCAAAAAAAGTTTAACGCACCTCAATATTTAGAGAATGCGCTTCCCGCGATTCCTCTCTTTCTCCCTGTCTTCGCCGGCGACTCCCCTTCATCGTCCTCATTCGGGCTCGGCTTCCTTAGGAGGAAGACGACAACTAGGACCTGAGGCACCTCCATGTTGCCTTGTAAGTTTGTTTGTTTTTATATTTATTTATTTATTTTATATTTTGTGATCTGCGTGTGTGAGGATATGGTTATTTGTGTCTGGGGAGAAGATGGGAAGTTTTTATTTTTAAGTATGGTTTAAGCAGGATTTTCTCTTATGCCTTGTCATGCTTGTCCCACGTGGCGAGCATGTGAGGGATTTTGAACATATTTTAAGTCATCGTAGTTTCTCTAAATTTAAGGAAATGTATATATCTAAACTATCTCTATAGTATTTACTTTACACCAAGTTCAGAATTCTTTCTTTTAACGAAATTTTCTACTTTTAAGTGTTGTATACAATTAACAGTACTTATACAAATCCATATGATAAAGACTATCTTCTTAACTTTCCTTCAATTTTAAACTTCTACAAAAGGTATTCGATCCCAGAGTCTCATGCGAGATGAAGAAGGCTCGTATTGTGCTAAGTGGTATCGTAGAGCAAACCTAAGACATTTTTGCAGGGTTGGGTTGCCCATTGGCGCTCCAACCTCTTTAATGGGTGTCTACACGTACCTCTTTTTTCTAGGACGGCGTTAGGAATCAAGACAGCGGGTAGTTTGAAGATACCTAATTCTTTTTTTCTCTCTATTGCAGTTGAAGGTTTAATTGCGGAAGAGAAAGGTCTTCGGAAATTTGACATGAGTGGAAGTGGACTTGCCATGGAGAATCCAATATGTGTTTGGGAGTCTTTATTCAAGGTGAGGACTTTATAAAGGATGCTTGTTACTTATAAGGATGAGGACCATTTTAGGCTATGAGGTATAAGTCTTGCTTGCTGAAACTTGATATTATTCAAAGAAATTGATTACTTTTCAGTTAATCAGTGTGAACATGTATAGTACAAGCTAATTAATGGTTAGGTGGATCATGCAAGGCAGTGGGAAGGGTCAGTGTTGGTGAGTTTGTGGTACCAAAGTATTGCATGTGTGAAGGAGCTGGATTGTCCCGTGTACTTTGTTCCATAGAACCTGAAGCCATACCCTTGTCTAACTTGCAAGATTCACAAGTGTTGATACAAAACGATGCACAAATGGAGGGAAACGGATACTGCCATCTTGTAAAGCCCGAGTTAGGAAGTAACTCGGGTAGTTACTGTGGGCTTTGCTTACCATAGAATGACAAATGTTTGGTGCATGTCACTTGTTTAGTCAACCCCCCTCCAACGTTAACACTTGACATATGGCTAAAACCAGGTTGTTGGTGTGGTTAGCTTGGCAGGAGTATAGCCAACTCGGACATCAGCAGTAAATGAAACTTATTTTATTCAACACCATAACTTCCATTACCTTGAATATTCCAATCATGACCTGTCTTAAAATCTAATTTTATCAATTTAAGGGGATAAACTTCCTTGTTCAGGTTCTTGTAACCATGTGCTTCTAAAGACTCTGCATAGGTCTAAATGATTTGGTGAAAGCAGCATTAAATATTGATAAATTATTGAACCATAATTTATAACCTTTCTAAATTTAGTCAGCATGAATGATTCGATTAGCTCTGTCTTAAGCAAGGTACTCGACTCTATTTTATCTGCCATTCCCACTGCCTTAGTTTTGGGATCCTAACAGTAAGGAAGAATAAAAGGTTAAGCAACAACGAATGTTTTTGTATTTAGATATTTAAGGTCGTCTGAGAAATTATATTGGCTTTTTCACAACTTTAAAATATCTAGACATGTTAGAACTTGCTTTAGCCACTTTTACCATGATGACAAAACTTGGGACATCTTACGATTGTCACAGGCAAAATGATAAAAACACAATCTGCGTACCACTGAAATCATTTGTAACATTGAATTTATTGTATTGTTGAGTATGTGTTCTTAAAATCCCTTTTTTTAACTTGCAGGGACAGTCGGAATCCTGTTGGTGTACCACGTCGGCTAGCTTTCATTACTGTGGATCATGAGGTAAGTACAGTTTTGTTGTAGATATTGTTAGTTGTCCTTCAATGATGACAAAACTTGGGACATCTTACGATTGTCAAAGGCAAAATGATAAAAACACAATCTGCGTACCACTGAAATGTGCTTAATAGATTTCTTTAACAATCTGTTTGTATGGAGATTCCTAATTCCATTTATTCTTCACAGGAATACAGAATGTGAGACCTCTGCATTTTTTTCCACTTAATGCACCCCAAGTTCATACATGCTAGGGAGGCTCTTTACACAAGGCAAGTAAAGTGTGGTGTGGTGTATTAGGAGTAAGATCTTTCAATGATGACAAAACTTGGGACATCTTACGATTGCCAAGCAAAATGATAAAAACACAATCTGCGTACCACTGAAATTATTAATAGTAATGAATCTAATTTATTGTTGAGGAAGTGTTCTTTATTATGTATTATACTTACAGGGCCTTTGTAGTCTACATGTACTTCAGTAAGTGACATGCAGGCCTGGAGACGAGCTTTTATTGGTACTTCAAATAATCAGGTATGTACTGTAATTATTGTTAGTCTTAATTATCCTTCAATGATGACAAAACTTGGGACATCTTACGATTGTCACAGGCAAAATGATAAAAACACAATCTGCGTACCACTGAAATTTGCTGTATAGCTAGACTTGCTATCGGGTTGTAAAATGGTTACTAATTGCCTTTTATCTTCTCAGATATCAGACGGAGGGATGTGAGTTGGCCAGACCTACTATGGATGATTTCTTAAACGTAAGTGTGCACCCATTTTTTTTGTAAAAGTAACGTTTAAATGATGACAAAACTTGGGACATCTTACGATTGTCATAGGCAAAATGATAAAAACACAATCTGCGTACCACTGAAATGCCTAATTTAGTTTGTACATGAATGTTTGCTGGTCAAATGGTTCATTATTAGTATCTCTTTTACAGGAACCTCTTGGAATGAAGACCTCCGCAGCCTTTTCTACCCAACTAAAGGATTAACAAGGTAAATATACTTGTTTCATAACTCTTAAAGGCTTTGATTGAAGAAAGTGGTAAACCATTACCATTTTTCATCCACTCTAAGCATGAATTGCTGAATCTAAATTGCTAATAGTTGGTTTTAGATTTGCCAGAATAAGTGAGTTTCTAAAGTTTGATTTCTTTAAAGTGATTATAGGAATTTGAGTTTTTTATGGTTACTCCTAAAAATTGGTATTGAACTTTTACATACCACTTTATACATTAAGCAGTGGCTGCCATTATTGCTTATTAACTGATGATAAAACTTGACCAGATTATCCTTGACGGTATCAAATGCTCAACAGGACTGATGTGAAATGTAGTAATGGTGTTCCTGACTTGATTTGGAGGTTACTTTAATAGTTGTTTTCCTTCTCAGGTCATCCAGGTCATCCAGAAGTGGCATTACAGTACCAGAAGGGACTATAGAAATGGTAAGAATTTATAGTTAAAAGAAACTAGTGTTAATTGTCTGTACATGATGATTGAAAGGGACCTCAAAATATAATGTGGATAAGTGAATTCCTCGTTTCTGACATTTTCAATGAACCAGTAACTTCAGGTAACCATCTATTGTATTCTAATGAAAGAATATTTTCTAGCTGTACTACAGAAGAGCGCAAACCCCCACCCTCCACCTCCCCATAAAAGGTACGTCTTTCCCGGTAAACTTCTGCACCTCTTCTGCTTTTTGTGATGATTGTTATCCCTGTCTCAATAACCATGTGGATATTTCATGTACTGATTAATGGCCATATGTAAATGCAAGGAAAAAGAGGAATTTTCTTTTAAAATGGCTTCCTTTTTTGCAGATTGGTGCAGTTGTATTTAATGCAGATAATTAGCTGTACAACCTTAAGGTAAGAAAAAGTCAGAAAAGAGGGGGAAGAGATTCTGAAAATGATGAAACAAAGTACCTTCCTTAGATGTCTGAGTAGACTGAAGAACACTAATAAACTCTGAAAATAAAATGCCATGAAAATTAAACTTTCTCAGAACCTGTTGATAATTGGATTTCTTATTTTTCAGCTTATCAAATGTGACAGGGCAGTTGACAGCATGGTATACCGGTTAACCTCGTATTGTGCTTAGGTAAGCAACAAATTTTTAAATAGTTAATTGATAGAATGTTGAAGGATTTGATTCCACAAAAACTTGCCCTAATGTAATGTTAAAATTCTTGGACTTTAACTAATTTTCATTTTCAAGTTAAATAGATTAATCACTCTTTTGCTGTTATGATGATTGTTCTCACAGACCTGTTCTGAAAGTAATGTAGAAAGAAGAACGGCCATCTGATCATTTATTTTACATAAAATGTACATGGCACAAGCTTGTGTGAATTTAACCCACCCCCCCTTTTCTTTTGCAGTTGTTGGGTGTGCAGCCTTCACTTGCAGTTGGAGCTCAGGTTTTGGATGAAACTTCATGCCGACACTTGGAACATGGAATATTTTGTGAAAATTTGTTTCCTCCTTACTCATTTCACAATTGTTTCTAAATAAACTTGGACAAAGACTTTTTTTATTCATATCCACTTGAAAAGGAAAAGATGCTGTGGGAGATGTAGAAACTTCTTGTGAAGAAAGTGGTGGGGCAGAGCAATTTGAATAGGGAGTGAGACTTGGTTGACGTGTTCACTGTCTGGACTTGCCACTTCAAATTCAAACATGTAGGCATGGCAGCCAAAGTAAAATTATGGGAGCCACTGCAATTGGCACACCTACGTGAATGTGCAGAGCAGTTTAATAAATTACCATCAGCCTGTGGAACAGCAGCATTTGGCGTTTAGCATTTTCCTTTTAGCCAGGGCAGTTTGTTAGGGAGATGAAGACTTCTGTATTGAAGGAGGGATGAGGAATGGGTTTGCCAGTTAAGTCAGGGTTGATAATGCTAGTCTTGTAGCTTGGGATTTGGGTGTAATCAATAAGGAGTCGTTTTTGAAGGTATTGCTGGAACGAGTATTATCAGAGTAAGGGTCTGTAGGAAGGTATTACAAGAAATACCATTTGGCTGGGCTAAACGGAGTATTAATGATTGTAGAGTAGGTGGTAGTAGAAGGATGGATGCGTGAAAGAGGGAGTAGTGGACCATACGGTTTAATATTAGTAAGGGAGGATGGGTTGAGTTGTGGATGAGATGAAGTAGCGAATGTTGGGAGATGAGGAATGTTTCCTGGAGGTTGAGTATTGACCTGGATGGAGGTTTTGGACTGGGTTGTGAGGGTAGTGATAGTAGGTTTTGAAGTGGGTAATACAAGCAGTGTTCAGTTGGGGTCAAAGGAGACCCTGGGATCAGGGAATCTGAATTTAAATCACTGGGGCCAATTGATAAAGGAGGAAGCCTTAATGCTACAGTCTTCACTACTGGCCATGGTAAGCCTTTGATAGGGTGGAGAGAAAAAGGGAGGGGCAATAGCTAAACAACTAAACAGGAATACCATGCCCATGGCTCCCCCAGGCAGTTAAGGAGTGGCACAGGGTCAAAGAATGCAAAATTGGCCAAGGCAAGGGCTGAGGCCTAAGGCAAGTGTTGTCCCCAGTATTGGATCCCAGTCAAAGTAAAGTAAGTCATTAGCAGTGTACTTAACCTATTGCTGCCAGGGATGGCATGTACATATACACCATGCCCAATGTGAGTCGACTTGTTTGTTTTTACACACAAATGGCTACACTTGTAATTGGCTCACTGGTGACTTGGTGAACAAGCGAGACAGGCAGTACTCATACTCTTTTCATCAATTTACGAAAATATTTGACGTCCTAATTAGCTGTTAAAAATAACACCATCTATATTTATAGCACTAGTAAGAATGCATTTTTTCCCGCTAATTTAAGGAAAGGTTAAATCAGGACTAGCACCACAATCCCTACTTCCTACCTTAGCTTCATCTCCACGCTTACCTACTCCTTTCTCCACTCGCCATCTCCAACCTCTCCCGTTCTCTGTCCATTCCGTCCCTCCATGGCTTATACCTCACCTCCATATTTGCTCTTCTGTTTTCCCCGACCCACCAAAATCAAATATTCCTCCTACTGTCTTTCTCATCCATTTCCTTGACCATGTCTCCACCCATTCCTCTAGTATACACGTATATACTGATGGCTCCAAATCCACCTCTGGTGCTGGTTTTGCAGTAATATTCCCAACTCGTACTTTCAAATACTCTCTTCCTCCTAAATCCAGTGTCCTTACTACAGAACTGAATGCACTCCTTTTTGCCCTAAAACACATACTCACTCTCCTCTTCCTCTTTTACAATTTTTACTGACTCCTGTAACTCATTATTAACTCTCATAAAGTCAATACACACCACCAACCCCCTTGTTTGTAAGATCCAGAACTGTTTGTTCTACCTGTCCACACGCCATAAAACAATCAAATTTTGCTGGGTGCCCAGCCATGTTGGAATCCCCGGCAATGAACAAGCAGATACACTAGCACGCCACGCTGCTATGTCCACATCATACCAACCACGCTTCTCACGTATCCCAGCCATGGATTATTACCCACACTTTAAGACCTTCTTGTATAACCGATGGCAATCTTTTTGATCAAACCTCCACACTAATAAATTACATTCTGTAAAACTATCAATCTCCTCCTGGTCAGCTCCATTTCATCGGAACAGACATTGGGAGACCGCTTTCGCCCGCTTACGCATTGCCCACACCTGTCTAACACACTCCTATCTGATGTCACAATCTGATCCACCCCTGTGTTCCTTATGTAATGTTCCCCTTTCAATCCCACACATCCTATTGTCGTGCCCACGTTTTGAAGCAGCCCGTACCTCTGCTTTCCCCCACCTATCCTCCCTTCACCGACCTCCCAACCTATCAGACATCCTTACAGAATCCCACACTTTCTGCAACAACCTGTTCTCTTTCCTCAAATGCATACGTATCCTTCATCTAATCTAACACCTAACCTTAACCCTTTTACTCACCAATTCCTTTGCCCAGTTTAGACAACTAATCACTAACTCAACATCAGGACTAGCAGAGCCATCTATGTACAGAGATATTTCACAAAAATATAAAAAATGAGTACTGCATTTTCCCCAATTTTTTATTCATTACAGCAATTGGGTGGGGCAAAGCTGCCAGGTATTTTTTTTTTTTGTCATGGTGGCAATTATGAATTACCAGACTGACTAATGGCCCAAACATACAAGTGTTCTAGACATCAAATATCATACAATAGTATGATATAGTACTGGCAAAAAGGGTAAAGACAAGTTAACAAGGAAGATGGGGAGGAAAAATAGGGGGAATAGACGATGCAAAATTAGTTGAGGCAAGGGCCAAGATCTAAAGGTGCGTTTACACAATCGAACTATGTTCGACGGACAAAATCGTTACCAACTAGGAGTGGAAAGCGAAAAGGCTCGCTGATGACATCAGAAGCGAGCACCAAGTGGTGTACTGGACACTGTCCGTTTTCGCAGCATCGAAACGAGCCACACACTGATTTAAATGGCTGAGTTACCAACGGACATCACCTTCGAACATTGTCCACTGGTCTATGCCTTGTGAGCAGATTCGAAACAGTGGTAAACACCCTCATCTGGTACCACTGCTTATTGCCAGATCCGCTTCCATCGTTTCACCGCTTATGACGTCATCCTGCTTCTCCTGTGATATATGGTAACGATTTTGTCCGTCGAACATAGTTCGATCGTGTAAACGCACCTTAAGGTAGAGGTGTTCCCCTACAATGTGCTTAGGATTGTATCAAACATATATATAGGATTCCTTTGTGCTCTTGGAATAAATGATAAAAGTACTTTTCCATATTTAATCTTTTACATCTAGGATGCTTTCGGCATTAAACTATAAAAAGAAATCAGTACCCTTAAAAATTATGATGCTCCACTAATGTTTTAGTTTTGAATATTTTTTAGGTATGGAAGTCTTTACAGCAAAGTGTTTTAACCCAAAGTATTTCCTTATTATGCCTGAAGCATTGGTACAATATCAACAAAAACAGATGCACTTAAACTAGATTTACTCAACTAAGTGGTTTTATCATCATGTAGATGAATTTGGAGTTACAAATCGTTCAAAAATGTTTTTTTGTATTTGGTGCAAGGATTCAGGAAATACAAAAGCAGCCTATAATTTTTTTTTATTATACGAAGTTCATGAACAGTTATTAGATACATTTCCTTAGGTAATCACACAAACATAACCATGCTCCTTCCAGTTGAACTTTTCATTTTTCTTGTCTGGATCAGCACTCCCATATCTGTCAGAGGAGGAAGAGAGGAACTTAGTACTGCACAAAAGTGCAAAGTAATGCATTATCTTTGTGACAAAGACAGTTATTATTATTAAACCATCTTGATTCCATAATTGTGGGTTCAACCATTTCTGGTACTTTTGTATTACGATCCTCAACTTCAATGTTAATCTGCCATCAGTAAAAATCAATCCAAAATAAACCATTAATGATTTTGAGCATTACTAAAACATTTTTGGCTGTGTGTGCCTTACATATACAAATAAACGTATATGAATCTACTTACCTTTGAACTTCTGATGCAAAAGTATCATTTCCAACTTGCACTGCATTCTTACTGCAACAAGGGAGAGAGGGGAATTAGTACTGCCAGACTCCTATCAATGTTTCAAATCTTTAAAACATCATTCAGACGTAAAGGATTATCACATTGTCTCGGATCCACAACAGTGGGTTCAACCATTTCTGGCTCTGCTGTGTAGTGACCCTCAACTTCAATGGTTAAAGTATCATCATACAGAACAATTTATGACATTACCATTATATTATGATGAACATGCATGTATATCAAGCTGAACTTCAGAATATGACTTTGCTTCATTCTGTGTATTATGATCATAAGATATCAAACTGTCGAGTAGCTTTCGTTAATCAGAAAGATGAATGAATCTTTTCCTACACATTCCTAGGATTCCATACAGTTATGTAACATTTATCTATACATCTTTATATAGTCTTTACTCCTTGTTCATCTAGATAAATACATCATATGGTTAAAAGTACACTGAATGTTCTTGTTGCTTTGCATTTTATATGTTCAAGATAACCTACCCTCATTTTCATATACAAATTTTTCTACTCCTTACATTTAACCCAATCACCATTCCTTTTCATTCAAATAAAACTCACCTTTTAATGTGAAGATTAAAGCAGGACTGAAACTTGTGTCTTGGTTTCAAAATAGCTGGTTCCACTATATCCACCACCTGTGAAAGACCACATCAACTGAAACAAGATTCTAAAAACAGCTATTTTTTATAGAGCCAATTTTTTCAGAAAGACCAATGCCATCGTCATGGATTTTACGCTAGGGGCGAAATTTGTCATCATTTAATGTAACCAAAAAAAGCCATATTAAAGGACATGCATGACAATTATACGTACATTAGCGAAGAATGCCCTCAGGTTCCTATAGGCCTTCCACTTTCTAGGATGTCCCCAAGTTAGCAGTTTTGCTGAAATAGAGATATTATATTTGTATTATCCATATTTATATACATATATATTTTTTTTATCCTTCAAAGAATTCAGAATGAATATGACATCAGATGTTCAGATATATGCTTGTCAATTTATCATCATTGTAAGTTTTGTGCTCTTATCCGGTAAATGCCCAGGCTCAATTAAAATAAACATTTTATATTCAAAATCCCTTGATTTTGCAATTTCTATCAGATAAACATTGCAAGATTCAATTAGTACACTAAACTCTTGAAAAAATAAAAAATAAAATTTAAGCTAAACTTGTGTAACAGATTTTATAAATTTTGAATTCCTTTTAACATGTGATACAGAAACACCACCCAGCAAAATCAGAAATTACTTCATCCTTCCCACTTGAATGAATAGTATTTAATGGCACTGGAAAATTTACCTGTCCATCCTTAGTAGTTAGAGTCAGATATAACCCCTTATAGGCAATCCTTACCTGTATCCAGTAGTTTCAGGGAAGAACACTAATCCAGCATCACTGGAACCCTGGAACCTGAAACACACAACACACCCAATTACCATTATGTTTTATGTTCTGCAGATTCCAGAAAATCAAATAATTCAGATTTAATGGTGTCTTCAATCGATCTCAGACATCTAAGGAAGGAATTTGGTTCATCATATGTAAATTTATAAATTGTGCAATCTTCACAGAGTTAGCCAACAGTCTATTCGCTGATAATAGTTATTGTCCATTAACCAGAACACTCATTTTGCCAAGACATGTGGATTTGATTTGATTTTTTATTTTTTAGTCTACAAAGCACTTTATCACATTGGTTACAGTAGTACCACAGTTTAACCGAGCCAGATAAAGCAGAAAGGAATGTAAAAGATTTAAGTACTTTACTAAAAGACATGCTAGGTTAATTTTTACTAAAAACTGAAAAGATGGAGAAGTCTTTAGCACGACCATTAGTAATTAGGTATTCACTTATGGAGATCCTTTCCATTCTGTAAATGAAATTCCAGTAACTACAGGACATGTACAACTTCTTTGGACTTGATACTGGGCAAGTAAGTGAATAAGGATTTTAGTTTTCTCTACACATGGAAGACACAGCAAGTTTTTAATTCACCAGGGGGTCAAGGATATGGGTAAACAGTAGAACTCAGGGACACCAAGTAATTAACTCCTTGGTAACCAGGCACTGGGAACCATCCATGTATGAACAAAAATAATGAACTCTAGTGGGCAGAGCATATATACTAGAACAAATATCTTAAATGTAAAATTCATGTATTCATATTCTCTTATGAACCACAGACAAGTTATACAACACATACAAAGCAGCAATTACTGTGGTGTTGGGCCACAGGCAAGGCATCACTACTGGCATATGGCTAATAAAGGTATCTAAAAGAAGTTAAAAAAGGGAGGTACAATTTTTAGCCATGAAGGTATTGCACTAAATACTCAACAGTAGTTCAATGTTTACCTGTGCTTTCCAATCTTGACAGGACCCCAATAACTTGCTGCAACTTCCACGAGACCTGGTGGTGTATAAAAGTGGTTGATGGTATTACTTACGAAAAAGTAATAAAGTAAATACTATATTACGTTACCTCAGCCCTGTTGAGCAATATTGAACCATCACAGATTTTCAAGTCAAAAATTTGTCATCATTCTATGTTTAAGCAACAAACAGCATTTGATTTTACTTACCATAAAATGCCTCTGCTCAATGGACTCCAGCCTGGTAACTGCAAGAGGGAGAACTACATTAGAACCTTAAAAAATATTTAAAGATATGAAGGCCTTTAAAATCCTTATCAGACAAAGGTATATCACACCGTCTCAGATCCACAACAGTGGGTTCAACCATTTCTGGCTCTGCTGTGTAGCGACCCTCAACTTCAATGGTTAAGCTATCATCATTTTAAATTGCCAAGGGATAGTCCTTGGTAAAATTAAACTTCCCAAAAGATCCCAAAACATTAATTTACAATTAACAGACCAAAATAATGGCATATTCTTAGTCAATTAGAAAAGTTCATGTTTGCTTGCCTGCAACAACGTTCCAAAATATACAGGCCTTAAACTCCCTTATGTTCAAGTTTCACAACCAACTCTTACTACATCGAAGTAACTATATTTCTTTAGCATTACCTTCAATTTCATAAAGTGCATATCAGATTCTCCAAACTTTAAATACAATTACTTTAGTAAGAAACCTTGCCCACATGTGTTTATCCAAATGCTCACCTTGGACAAAATGTAATAAAAGCAGGATCAACAACTGGAAACTTGCCATGGTGTCAGCAGGAGGTTTTGCCATATCCACCACCTGGAAAGACCACATCAATTGAGACAAACAGATAATGAACAGCTATCTTCTACTTGGACAATTCTTTCAGAAAGACCAATGCCATCGGCATGAATTCTACGCTAGGGGCGAAATTTGTCATCATTTAATACAACAAAAATAAAGCCTTTGTAAAGACTGCTAAATAAACGTACCTAATCCAACAATGAAATTGGCTCCCTTTGGAGCCATTTGCCATTTACCATCGTGGATGCTAGCAACAGTTTTGCAGTTTTCATCACTGAAAGATAAAAAGTATATTAGTGATACACCAAACTTTACATTTCAAAATTTTTAAATGGACAATTATCAGAATAAAATTGACATCAGAGTATCAGCTATATGCTTGTCATGTTGTCATCACATTTCATGCTACATTCTTCTCCTAATGAACAAATTTGCCAATCTTAAATCCAATTCCCCTTATTTTATTTCATTCAAGATAAAAACTCCCCTTTGGACTTGCTGAAATCTAACATACTGTAGACATAAGCAGTAGATGAAAGCTTTATGAAAGGGTTGGTTATTCATTTGCATTTGAATGTTAGGTAAAAATGTGAGAAAGTCCTAAACCCTTTTAAAGTCAAGGGATTCAATGAAATGTACCAAAATTCCAAATTTACCTTAAAATCCTCTTTGAATCACAAGTTAAAGTATTCAGAACAATTCTACACTAGGAGCAAAATTTGTCACCACTCGATACAACCAAAATGAAACTTTAGGAAAACCATACAGGAACAAGTATCTTACATAAATGGGATGAAGATAGAAGCCTGATTATTGAGCCCAAAGTTAGTAAAGTTAAATTTGGCATCCTCACCTTATCATGAATCCAGCCTCCACTCCAAGCTATCCATAGGGAAACTGTTCCTGTACACAATCATATCCAGATGGACAAACCTGAAATATGAAAAGCATAATTAACAGAAAGGAAAATTGCATTTGCATGCTATGAGACTGTCTCGGTCAGTCAGTTAAACAAGTTTCCACATAGCTTATTGAGACAGGGATAACAATCATCATACAATGCAGATCTACATGTACTGAACAGGTTTCAGGACTTGCCTTTCTTGTCAAGAACTGTCTGCAGATCATTTCTTTTAGCATTCAGCCCTCTTGAGCCCAAAAATTATTGAAAATCATTGAAATCAGACAAGGAATTCACTTTTGAAAGCTACAATCCATATTCATCCATTTTTCTTCTTCCTGAAGCAATTTACAGCAGCTTCTTGACCTGATGGGAGTGGGCAAAGGTATGGTGTTAATGTCACTCAAAGAAAATAAAGTGCATATGCACTTTATATAACCTCAGCCCTGTTGAGCAATATTGAACCATCACAGATTTTCAAGTCAAAAATTTGTCATCATTCTATATTCATAAGGCTATACAGCATTTGATTCTACTTACCATAAAATGCCTCTGCTCAATGGACTCCAGCCTGGTAACTGCAAGAGGGAGAACTACATTAGAACCTTAAAAAATATTTAAAGATATGAACGCCTTTAAAATCCTCATCAGACAAAGGTATATCACACCGTCTCAGATCCACAACAGTGGGTTCAACCATTTCTGGCTCTGCTGTGTAGCGACCCTCAACTTCAATGGTTAAGCTATCATCACAAGAATTGTTTTTTGAAACATTAAGACAAAGATTTGTCCTTAGCACAATTAAAGTCATCTAAAATCTCATCAATTTACAATTATCTGACCCCAAGACAATGGCATATTCTCGTTCACATAAAAACAAGGTTTTTGCCTATGAGTAACATGTAATATTTCATAAAGTAGAAATTAGATACAAAAATAATTGTACTTCAAGTTTAGTGTAAGAGACCCTCCCCATATGTTTCATTCAAATAATGCTCACCTTTAACAAAATGTAAAAACAGGATCACCAACTGGCAACTTGCCATGGTGTCAGCATGAGGTTTTGCCATATCTACCATCTGGAAAGACCACATCAATTGAGACAAACAGATAATGAACAGCTATCTTCTACTTGGACAATTCTTTCAGAAAGACCAATGCCATCGGCATGAATTCTACGCTAGGGGCGAAATTTGTCATCATTTAATGTAACTAATATAACACCTTTACAAAGACTTAAATTACAAGTGAACATACCTAAACCAGTGAAATTGGCTCCCTTTGGCAAGAGGATACTTCCAATGGTCCTTAACCCTACTGGATGCAAGCAATAGGTTTGCAGTTCACTGAAAGAAAGTAAATTATTAGTGATACACAAAACTTTACATTTTATATTATTAAGTGAAATGTTATCAGAATAAAATTGACATCAGAGTATCAGCTATATGCTTGTCATGTTGTCATCATTTTATGGAGCTTTCTGTTAATGACCAAATTTGACAATTTTAAACCCAATGCCTCTGTAATGATCAGACACACGTTATAAATCAGTTTATTTGTAAAAAGGACGTTCTCTAAAGCACTTATGAAATTTAGTCAAGTGTTTTCTTCAAATTTAATTCACTGAGGGGAGTCAGAGTGCATAAATATTTACACAAACCTAATTGTATTGATAACACTAACAAAGTATAATGCACAATTTAACTATTTCAAAATTGAAAATTATAATCTTGTGTTTTACAAGTCTTATCAAACCCATGGTCAAACAAAAGGTTTTTATCTAAATTCCAAAACTTTTCCAACCCCTTTAATCCTACACTTCACAGCCCCTTGTTCAATTTCATTCTAGATGAAAACTCCCTTTTAAACTCAGATATTGACATTTTAAAATACTTCAAACATAAGCAGTACATGAAAGCTTTACAAAAGGGTTATTCATTTCATTATAAAAATGGTAGTTATACACAAAATCCAGGTTTAATTTCAAAGGGACAGTGAAATCATGAAAAGTAGCAAGGTCTATTAATCTACTCCTTTGTGGATAGGTACTAGTAGAGCCATCTATGTGCAGAGATTTTTTACAACACATTTTCCCAGGGTTTTTGGGTTAAAAAAGTAAAGAGGTCATCAAACTTTAATTTCTGCATAACTAAACTTTCAAGGTTCTTAACACAAGTTATAGCTTAAGATAACATTAACACCATCTTACCTGCATCACCCAACAGTTTCTTTTGCAAGTTTCAGCAAAAGCACTTGAATCCATCACAGGTGAAACCCTGCAGACCTGAAGCACACAATTTCCAATTACTATTAGGTTTCATACTATTTAATTTTCCAATAATCAAACATAGTCAGATATAATGGGGTTCTTCAATCTATTTCAGACATCTAAGGAAGGAATTTGGTTCATCATTTTAATTAAAGTAAAGTGAAGTTTGCAGTCTCTCTCACCTCATGAATCCAGCCTTCAACTCCCAGCTCTTCATAGGGAAACTGCTACTGTACACAGCCATACCCAGATAGATAAACCTGAAATGTGAAAAGCATAATTAAAAGAAAGGAAAATATCATTTGCATGCTCTGAGAAGGTCTCGTCAGTCAGTTAAACAAGTTTCCACATAGCTTATTAAGACAGGGATAACAATCATCATGCAAAGCACTTCTACATGTACTGAACAGGGTTTCAAAACTTGCCTATCTTATCATGAAACGGTCTGCAGCTCATTTCTTGTAGGATTCAGTCCTGAAGAAGGAAATCTTGAACACTTTTTGGAAGCTTCAATCTAGATTTATCCAGTTTCCTCAATCCTGAAGTGATTTACAGCAACTTCAACCTGATGGGACAAGGCAAGGGTATGGTATTAATGGCCACACTTAAAGAAAATGAATTGCTCATGCATTTTACATTACCTCAGCCCTGTTGAGCAATATTGAACCCTCACAGATTTTCAAGTCAAAAATTTGTCATCATTCCATTTTCACAAGGCCAAAATGCATTTGATTTTACTTACCATAGTATGCCTCTGCTAAACCAAGTCAAGACCAACAGCTGCAAGAGAAAGAACTACTTTTAAAAACTAGAAAAACAAGTATTGTGTTTCAAAGCCTTCAAATCTTATTCAGACGTAAAGGATTATCACATTGTCTCGGATCCACAACAGTGGGTTCAACCATTTCTGGCTCTGCTGTGTAGCGACCCTTAACTTCAATGTTTGAAGTATCATCACATAAATCATTTTCATTTTCAAAAAAGATGCAAATCTTAAATTTACAATTTTGCCAGAAGAAAAATTCTACTTGTAATATATAAAAACTAAAATTTATTACATTATTAACTTTTGTATTACCATAAGATCAAAACTGCAACCTCACTGAAGACCGGTGCCATAGTTTCCGCCCATAGTAAAATCCGGTATCATTGGTCAATCCAACACCTTCCAATTCTAACCATGACATGGCTATATGCATGCTGCTATCTTGGTTTGGATGCACCAAAGGCACGATGAATTCGTGCCTTTCTAATTCTGTGGAGCTCCATTCTTCTTGAGATTCTCAAATACATAACCTGTAAGAGAAGATTTTTCATGAAGTTTTACATTTCATACATTTTCTGTTTTGCAGTACAAATCCTTTGTGCTTTAAGAATGGTTTGTCCTTTGCATGGTCATGTGAACAACCAAGATCACCCAAATTATAAAAGAGGAATATTGAGGTTGCCAAAGAATACTACAGAGAGGGAAATGGACACTGCCATCCAATGGAGCATAAGAAATAGTCAACCACAGGTACAATTGCAACAACGACCTATTTACTATCAAAAAAACAATCTGTTGCATATCACTGATCAGATTAGGTCCACAACACCTTCACAAAGCCACACAAAGCCAGAGTTCCTAAGGTCACTTTTTTTTTTTAAGCTGGCACTAAATACTAATAAAGGAAGGTAGGAACCCCCATTTGTCTAGGGAATAAAAAGGTAGGAAAGGTCAGGTTTGGATTTTTGGGCTCTCACGATATCCTTGTTTTGCGACTTCTCCAGAAGGTTTGTCGCTCTCGATAATAAATACCAATTCAAAAAGCTGGGCATTTGTTACCAAGAGTGAGGCACCAAGTCCCTAAACCAGAGTATCATGCGAACCCAAATACCCAAAACTAACCTTTCCTTTTTAATCTTTAGGCAGAAGGGGAAGCCAACTGTACCCCCCCTCCCTTTATTTGCAATTAGTGGCAACTTATAAAAAATGCAACATTAATAACTTTGGCTCTGAGGGTGTTGTGGACTTAGCCTAGCCTGAGCAGAAATATACAGTAGATATTTTTCTTTTAACAGTAAATACAAGTCCGGAGTAGTTTTAACATTGTTTATGGCCATTTCTTATGCTTTATAAGATAGCAGTGTCTATTGCCCTCTATCTCTGTGCATCACTCAGTAGCATTAACCCACCGTACGAGTCCGTGGCAGTTCTCGATCACAAACGATACAAGTGAAAGCATTGGCAATTGTTCCTAAAGCAATCAGACTTACTCCAGACATCCTTCGGAATCCACATGCATTGTCAAATGAACCAAAAACCTCTTCAAATAAGCCAAGGCTCAATCTCACTAAGC